ATACTCCATCAGTTTCTCCTTTGCTCTATCCCACCTAGCTCTAAGGGTTTTGCAATCTAAATTGTGCTAGCTAGACTTTATAATTGCACTAAGACGTCCAGATGTATTAGTGTTCATGGCAACTGGACTGAATTAATGTCTTGCCCTGTATTTGTGGGCTGCTGAAAACCTGGGTGATTTAAATACCAACTGTGGCAAGCCTCATGCCTTATACTCTGTGGCTATGAATTAATCGACGCCACATTCATCTGTGGTTGGTGTCACCTTGGTTTTTGGCTTATTGGTGCAAGATCACACACTTGAGCATTGATTCTTTTATCTAGCATAATATTATCTTAAAATCTGAACTATTTGCCGCTTGTGTCTAAAACTAAAACACTGGACACAGTGTATAATCAGTACTGTAACAGTGCTGATTCTGCCCAGCATTTGCATATTACTCAGTGGTGACCAAAGCTCTTTGAATATTGTTGGTATTTTTCTAATAATCCCAACTAATTTTGCTAACTCTCGGTGTCCATCAAAGCCCCAAGGATGAGACGTGTCATCGTATGCATAAGTGATACCAAAGCTATTGTGTGTCCACAGTGGACCCTGAGTCAGCCCACTGAGAGACCCCAGGACAAGGAAATGAGATCAAGAGAAAAACTCTGCTCCTCTTCTCACAGTCAGTCCCATTATGTGGGTATGCGCGCAGGAATTTAACTAATCTGCAGGACAGAGAAGACTTTGTATTAATGATACCATACACTATGCATAAGGAAGCACAAACAAGTGGAGTTATTATTTGCATTTTAAACTTTAAGGGCATAGTTTTCCAAGCTGAAAGCTATCAAAATACTGCATGCTATTGTATTAATAATGTATGAATTAATTTAGCTGAATGTTTTTCATATCTAAGAATAATTTTAGAGCACCGGAATGTACTCTACACCTAATTTTTACTCCAAGCTGAACAGAGTGCTATTAAAATATAATGTACTCAAGTCTTATTAGCTGTCAACAAAGTATACAGAAATGTATAATTGGCTATCTCTGAAGTTTACAGTGTTGATAATATGATAATAAACTGAATTTTTCTTTTTAACAGAACATAATTTTTCTAAACACAGTGCTTAATCAAATATTTTATGGGGCTCTGTGTGTATCTAGGTCCTGAAGATTTGGATATTCAGTCTCTATTTCTGTGCATTAACAAAATTTCTGATTTAGACAAGTTACTTAATGCTTGTGAATAATTGGAAAGCTGATGAACTTAAGGCCCATTTAAATACTAATTATTTGAAAACCATAAGCCATTTAAAATAGTTGTACTCTTTAACAAATATCATTTCAATTTTTAAGAAATTGAGATATTGAATAATTTCATTGTCAGAAATAGTTTAATATGAATGTCATATTTGTGAATTGGTTTTATTTAAAATGATAGATTACATAGAAAAATCTTCATGCAATACATCAAGCCACACTTTTGTAAAGTGTTTAACCATAACATTAATATTTAGCTTACAAAATTTTAATAAAAAGAAACATCATAAATATATGTTCATGTTACCTCACACATCTGGTATTTATGATTCCAAAAGTATTTCCACTTACTTGATTTAGGACTTTATGGAATTGAGCGGTTACATCTTTTAATACAAAAATCTTGTAATACAGCTCTTTTAATATAAAACTTGGAGTTTTAAATATAAAGATTAATAGGACTTAATTACGAAAGGAAAATGTCTAAGGAAATCTCTTGAAAATTTACTGGCTCACCCTAGATTGTCATTTTTAACAGTGAATTCTGTCTTTCAAGTGCATTTCTTATGTCTCTCCTATTAAATTTTAATTTCCAAAATAAACAGTAGTCAAATAAAATCAAATGAATTAATATTTAAAATTTCATATTATTTTATATTTATGTTACATATGATTAAAAGTCTTCCGTATTCAAAAATCTCTTTAACTTAAGCTTAAATAATATGTCCTTCAAGCTTTTGTCTTTCAATATTTGGCGTATCCACAAGTATCAAATGTAATAATACTTAAAGGTAAAAAAACATAGAACTTATTTTGCAAAAGTGTTACAAAAATGTTAAAGGACAGCATTTGAGTAGCCTTACCACACAGGTACAGATAGAAGTCTAGAAGCGAAGAAAGTGAAGAACAGGGTGGGTAGAGAATTAAAGAGGAAATATGAGGAAGAATTGGGATCTAGCAATCAAAGGAGAAAAAGTTATAAAAGGAATTTGCTCTGTGGTGCTAGATAAAGCCCACTTCTTAAGCCATGTGAAAATTCACACACAGTGCGAAGTTTGGCTAGGAATGTGTTGAGCAGAAATGTGTACAGCTACTGCTACTGCCTGTGCTCTTGAGAGTGAGTGGTTAACAAGGTAAACTCTATGTCATGTCCTTTGGTTTCTGTTTTTATCATGAGACAGGGTCTTGTTAAGTGCCTGAATTGTTCAGGCTAGATTTATATGGTGTTGTCCATCTTACAGGCATCGGCCAGCATGCCTGGTTATGGGCATCTAGGTTATGCCCAGCTAGGTTATGGAATGTTGAAAGCAGCAGCGTCGATGCCTTCTGCATTACCTCTGAGGCTTTTGCCTGCACTCAAATTCTACCTCATATTCCATATAGAAAAGAATATGGTTTATTTCAGAAGTCTGTGCAATTTACTTATGTTTCCTCTTCAACTATGCTAAAAATGTGTTGAAATTAGACATCGCCTAAGAAGGTAGCGAGCCTCATCGCCTCCAGGTCATCTGCTAAATCTACGCAAAGGGGCCATTTAAGGCAACCTGACCAGTATTTGATTTGTATTTCTAAACAACTACTTAACTTTTCATTGTGTGCCTTCGATGTAGACTGTGGTACACATGTAACTTGAATCCCTAGAATCCAAAAGTTAACAGGAAATCCTACTTCTAATACATTATCTTAGTAGACCACATGAGATTTCTTTAACTTGAAAAAAATATTTTTCAGAGGTTAGATTTTAGGGTGCTCTCTCCAGGGTACCCCATAGCTCACTCACTAACCGATTAGGCCAAAGTAAACATGATCACTTTAACTATAGTATCACTATAACTATAAAAATAGCTATAATCTAATATGTAGGTTTTCAATGGTAAGCAAAGGGGAAGGTTTTTCTTTCTTTTGGATTACTTTTCTGCTGGGTTATTTTTTAATTTCTGTGGTTTTGGAGACGACCAAAATTTTTGCCATCACTTAATTTGATATTTAATTCAGACTACCATTTTTTCTGATATCATCGATAGGAATTAAACACGAAATCTTTGAACTACATTTCAGAGGAGTGTAGTCAGATTCTTCCTTTTCCTGTGGGAGTGGCTGTGATATTCAAAGCAATCCATCCCTTGCCTTGGTGAACCCAGCTCTCAGTGTAAGACTAACAGGCTGTTAATGGACTAGACTGGTTGTGTAACTTTAGGAAAATACATTCAAACAGTAGTTCTTGAACAGATATGAAAACATCACAACAGGCTTTTCCCCCTAACCAAATTCCTAAATATTATTATAGCATACACTCACTATGAGTTACTATGTGAATAATATTGTGCCAATTGCAATGAGAGCCATAGAGATAAATCACCTTAGTTGAGCTCCTAGTGGATCCTGGTTTATGAGGTACTGAATTTTCTAATCTCTTGTCTCAAGAAGGAGTGCTATACAGTGATAGAA